TTGTGTGGAAAGTAGTTAAAACTGAGCGTGTAAATGTGATTTTTGCCACAGTGACCATCGTGGCAGCTTTTTTTCTTTTTACGTTCCGTCATCTAAGTCACCGTACAATGAGGCACATTCTACAAACCCAGTTCGCTCAAAAGTACATGCGGAGTACTTTTGGGTTTGGGTGAACATCGGCACTGATATACCGTGCCCGACGTGATTCGGCGATCGACATTCTCAACGCGACATCACGGCTGACCGCGAAACGCGCTCATGTTTACTCTCTGAAGCATATGTTAGAGAGGGCTCCATATTTCTTTTGGGTCTTGAACTGAAATAGCCACTTAAAAATAACTATGTGTAGCTAACAGCCCGCCCATTTCAAGGCCTATACCCCTCTAGTTTCTGAACTGCATGTCCGCAAATATAAGGAGCTTTTTTCGGGCATAGTATTTCCAGATTAACCCTGGCATTCGTGACGTTATAATAAAGTCCTTCGAACCCTGCCACTCCATAAGCTGTGCGATGATTCAGGCCAACAAATATATAATGGTAGAGTCGTTCATATCAGGCGTTCGCGAGCACGATTTTCAAATATATCGGCCGTTGATTAGCTCTCAGTGTTGTACAAGGTCCGATGATGGATCATAATGTACCAACAAGAACGTGTCGAAGAGTGTATTTCAGTTGTTAAGTGCATTTGCGAAGGCCATTGTTTACATAGACAAGACAGTGGCAATAGGCTTATTCCTCGGAGAAAAACGACGAGAATAGAGATAGATGTGCATTGATATTTCGGCAACGTGCCCGTATCGAAACGAACAGCGAAGTGAATTCACTTCGGCTATCTGTCTGTCACGCGCTGCACGACGCTTGAAATCTGCGTTTGCTGGCAGTCACCCCTCGGCCCGCACTTCTTAGTCACGCAGCCAGTCGCATGTTTCGTAGCCGGCCGGGGAATTGTGAGCCGCGGGACGGGCACTTGCCGCTGAGTGCTACGGGCGGGGACGTCGTGCGAGCCTACTTATTCTGTCAGATGATTTAAAATACGGCATCGCCCCGACCGATGCGCTTGTCGTGAGCGGATGTGAAGGGAGTTGAAATGAAGGAGAACGTGCATTGAAAAGGACCAAAATAGCCCTCGTCGCCCGTTACAAACGAAATGCTTAGTGTTAAACTGTGGGTCTGTTTTGGCGGCTCAGGTAGGAAGAACCGCGATGACGACGCGCTGAGTGACATGTAGAATGGGGGTGTGTCATCAGTAACAAAACCAGTGAGACAAAGAAATTCTTTGGCGCTGGAGCCCACAAATACACCATAGCAAAGGTCTTCTTCCAAAAAACATAAATTCGTGAGGCGCGAGTCGATCGAAATATCGCCGTAAACCAACGCCCGGCATTGCAGCGCTGTTCCGGACGGACCCAGTACACGTTACGCTGAAGGACTGGCCGCAACCGTGGCCTATGTGTGCTGCGTCAGGTCGCAGAGCAGCGCGATGCTCCGGAACAGGTTGCGTAAGCCAAAGTCGCACCCGCTGTTTTTTGACGGATGGCGGGGCCATACCAACAAATAATCGCCGACCACGCACTGGACGAGGTTCTTGAGACCGCTGCTGGAAGTCTCGATAGAGATGTGAACTAGGAGCAGACCAGAGGCCAGTGTCCACTATCTGAAAACAAATCGAATATTTTACATTTCGGTACGAACTGAGCATTAGATCATGCAAAAATTATTGCACCTTTTTAGTTTATGTAACTATGCCCATATCCAGAGTCCTCAAATGTGACCGGAATACATATCAACAAATATGTTAGGTAGCATAACCAACCAGCAAATGATGCGAACATTCTACGGCACATGGTATCATAATAAGTAAAATGCTCAACAGTGCTACTTGATAGACTATAAACACTCACTGCTATAAACTCGAAGACAGTGCGTTTTTATGTTTACCTGACAGGGTTCGATGGTACGATTCCCGCTGGGCTGCCACGTTCGGGCAAAGCCGTTTTGAGCGCCGGAGGCCCAGAAGGCACAGCAGTTGCCGCTTGATGCTCAGCTGCTGAATCAGTCGACCGGCAAGTTTGGCACGCGCCCCAACCTCGGCTTGAATGCCACAACGTCCCTCTCCCAGACCTCTCCGGCACAGGGCTTGCCGATGGGCCCAGAAAACAATTCAATCCCGTGGTCGTGCCATCCAAGCTCAGCGGCAGATGGAGGACGTTCAGCTCGCTGCCACGCAGCTGGCATATGAACCAGTGTACGGGTGACTTAGTGGCCAGCTCAAACAGCCGGAACACGTCGCCTATCGTTTCGGTGTTGACAGCCATGCCATCACAGCCGACCACATTGATGTGACCGTCGCACTGTGGGCTCACGGAGTGCAGCTCGCTGAACAAGTGCAGGGTGCGGCCGAACTCGGACGTAAAATGAGTCACGCATCGGCTGCCTGGCTCAGCGATGACAGCCACGTATTTTTCGACGGCATTCGTCTGGCTCCGTGTGCCCCATGTAGCTCCTGCCTTCGTGGCCGTCGGAGCAGAGGATGGTCAAACCCGACTCGCGGATTGCTCCAGCATTTTGACGAGCCGCCTCTTTTTCCCCTCTGTCTCTTGTGCAGCGAATCTTCTTAGGATCTACATATTTGATTTCAAGTAGCCAGTCAATCTCTGCTGTCTTGTTGAAAGACGATGATAGCAGCAGCGACCCGTTTCGAGCCACCATAGCTGTCAACCGCCAGAGCGGTGTTAGTCAGATCATAAACGTTATAATCTACAGTGGCCGTGGTCTCAACGGAAACAAACAATCGGCGTCTGCCGCCCTTTTCCACCATGCACAGAACAGTGAATGAATATATGATTTATTGCTCTCAACTGACTCGCCAGCGCTTAGACCACTTGGTCCCGGAGCGGGCTCGGGGTTAGCACTAGCAGCCATCACTGGCTCAGCGGCGGC